TGTATTTCTAAGCGTGACCCAGGCTGCCCTTCAATCCTTGAGCTTCTGCTATTCTTACAAAATCCCCTTTCCCTAAGTTAACCAGGTTTGGTTTCTGACTTAACTCTTGTAACTCTAATAATGGCTATAGTATTGAAGGTGTATATTTTCAAATCTTTGAAGTATTAAATGCAAAACCACCATATCACTGTTTTCTTGAATGAGCAGCAAAAAGCCTGAGGACTAAGCTCATGAAGATCCTGGAAGACCCAGGCCAAGCGGCCTCCTGAGCTGGATGGACAGCAACCACACCAGATACCTGGGCTCTGAGGTAAATACAGGACAACGGCTGAGGGCTCTTCATGCGTGCTTCCTCCCAAGTGCTGTGTGTCATTTACTCCCCAACTATGAATGAGACGAATGAGCAGTGGCAAGCTGCCGAATCTGCCACCCTGAGGACATTTATGATTTGAACACCAATCACTCAGGTCATTGTTTCACACTCTGGTCTCTGAGTTCTGGTCTTACTCATATGAGGTCCAGAAACCCACTGAAGTCTGAATTAACTGTTAGATTTATTCAGAGATGAAGATCCATTATCTTCACCTGGAAGATGGAAAGGTTTTGAAGTTGTTTTCATCATTATTTTTATCATTTCCCTTCAGTGCTTCAATGAACTTGAATAGGTTCATAGATTTCGAATTCTCTCTAGGGTCGTATAATTTAGCACATATTTATGTGTAAGGCTTGGCCAGGGGGACTAACAACATTAACCAAGAGGTCATGATACTAAAATAATAATAAAAACAAATGAACACCCGGCAACTGGATAGCACTTTCAAGTGAATAAAGCATTTTCAATCTATAATCACGTTTGGGTATTTCAGCTTCTCTAGGGCTCGTTTTTTCTCAACTGTGTAATGTGAGGACTAAAATAGAATGGCTGTTCCCTATAAAGTTCCTTAAGAAGACAGAACTTGTCACAGAACCAGCTCCTAGAAACCCCAGTCCCTGCGTCTTTCTGACTGAGACGTCTCGCATGGCACTTCAGCGTGACTGAGTCACCTGAGCCCGCATCTGAATCCCAGCTCTGCTAAATTTAACGTATGACTCTGGGCAAGTCCTGAGCCTGTGTCTTCACCTCTAAAACAAGCCTATTAGCTCATAGGGTTGTGGTGAGGATTAAACAATGGCCATAAAACAATTCACAAGTGGCCAAAGTGACTTCTCCCTCAATCTTGCCTCTCCCCTTGTCCCTCAGCCCAAGTCTGTTCATTGTCTTGGCTAACTGTTGAGAATCCCCAACCAGAACTTTAAAATGCAGGAAACCTAAATACAATTCTATAGATTGGTATCCAGTATACTGAAACTGTAACCCAGAAAGTTTTTAGGAAGGGCCCTATGGACTGAACTGTTCTCCCCCAAATTTCATGCTGAAGCCCTAACTCCCAATGTGACTGTATCTGGAGATGGGCCTTTAGGAGGTAATTTAAGTTAAATGAAGCCATAAAGATGGGGTCCTAAGGGCTGTGGGCTTAAGAAGAGACAGACATGTCTCTCTCTGTGCCATGTGAGCACACAGCAAGAAAGGTAGCCATCTGCAAACCAGTTAAGTGTCCTCACCAGAACCTGACCATGTTGGCACCTTGATCTCAGACTTCCAGTCCTCAGAACCATAAGAAAAATCAATTTCTGTTGTTTAAAGCCACCCAGTACTTTATTATGGCAGCCTGAGCAGACTAAGACAAGCCCTTAGTGAAAATTTTTAAGAAATGGCCACACCCTGAATGAGCTCAGAGCCTAGAACATTACTGGCCATTTAAAAATTCCTGGTTGGGCTTCCCTGGTGGTGCAGCGGTTGAGAGTCCACCTGCCGACGCAGGGGACACGGGTTCGTGCCCTGGTCTGGGAAGATCCCACATGCTGCAGAGCGGCTGGGCCCGTGAGCCATGGCCGCTGAGCCTGCGCGTCCGGAGCCTGTGCTCCGTAACGGGAGAGGCCACAACGGTGAGAGGCCCGCGTACCGCAAAAAAAATTAATTAAAAAAAAAAATTCCTGGTTGTGTCTTAACTAATTCCAACCTCTGGCACTACCCAGAAATAATAGGGATAGATATTTATGCTTCTAAGCAAAGAGATGCATATTCCATTATCCTTCACCTGAGGGTCTTCTCAAAGATCACACCAGCGCTTCCCTGATGGCGCAGTGGTTGAGAGTCTGCCTGCCAATGCAGGGGACGCAGGTTCGTGCCCCGGTCCGGGAGGATCCCACGTGCCGCGGAGCAGCTGGGCCTGTGAGCCATGGACGCTGCGCCTGCGCGTCCGGAGCCTGTGCTCCAGAACGGGAGAGGCCGCAACAGTGAGAGGCCCGCGTACCGCAAAAAAAAAACAACAACTCAGTTGTGAAGGTTTAAGGAGCAGGGTAAAACCACGATCACCGATTTTGTGTTGTGTTGTGAGCAAGGACAAAGAGCAGCCTTGTGGGGAGAAAACTTCGTTTCACGATAAAAGAACAGCTGCCAAAAACGGCCCAAGAGGCTGCTGGGAATGACCTCGTCACACTCTTTACTCCTTTATATGAAGAAGATGGGGCGGGGGCGGCGATCTGGATTGAGAGTCTGGGATTTCAGCACCAGTGGAAATGATCGACCAGGCAGAGGTGCCAGAAAGGATGGACCTGCATGTTGACTGTACTCAATGCACAGGGTAGTAGAATACAAGGAGGTGAAAAGCAGGGACTACGATCAATCATGCCAGAAAGAACCTGATACACACCTAAACCTCATACTTACCTTTTAAAAAACTTGTCATAGAATTCCACATTTTAAAGTGCTACTTCCAAGATTTCTCTAGGTCCTGTTGGGATAAGTTCCTGGACTTGGCCCTATTCAGAATTGGCTGGGAGCGGTAGGACACGGAGATCAAGCCGTGGTGGATGGTGCCTGAAAACTTTACCTTTCCTTTAGAATTCTACATAGAAGAGGACCAGGAGGAGCCCCTCTTTGGCCACCTGGACTCGCACCTGGCCCGCGTCGAGGCGCACAACCAGACCCTCATCCAGCTGGAGACGCACCTCATGGCCACGAGCCTGACGCACGTTCTCATGTGGGGCTGGCTGAGTTGAGGCAGTGGCTGTTCCACATGATCTGGAGCCTTGGGACTGGGACCCCCAAAGCCGGGCTGGAGGACGCAGGATGCCGCGGCTGGTGTGGCGCCAGCCCCTGACCACGAACCACCTGGCCGAGCCCTCAACCCCGTCCATCGTGCTGGACCCGCCTGGCCTGTTTTCATCCCACAGGAAGGGGAGGACCATCCCTCTTCGGCCTTCTTAGGCTTGCCCTTACCACATGCTTGGTTCTAGATGCCTTTAGATTTCACTGTGTCAGTAAAAGGATTTTGCTCTCCCCTGGGCAGTCGAGACTTGAGGGGGGTTTTGGCTAGGGCATATGGGTAAAAACACCTGAAGGGCACTGACACGAGGCTGCATTTGTAGCCCAGTCTTGTCCCTCAAAGGCCTAAGTCCCCCGGCTGTGAGAAAGTGGTCCACCAGCAAAGATCCAGTAAAACAAGTGGCCCAATGTAAAAAAACAATAAGAATAAAAATTTAAAAAATAAAGTGCTACTTCCGCAAAGCAAAACATTCTATAAATTCCATTATAAAACAACCTAGCTGTGTTCATCATGAATGTTTTTTGTTATAGAGTTAAAACCTTGTTCCTTTTCTGTATTAGATAATACTTACCTGCCTTTTCTTTAAACCAAGATGAGTCATGAGTTCTTACATATGTGTGCAGGACACCTTACACTATTTATTGAACACCTGCGTGCCAGGCACACAAAAAACCTTATCCTTAACACAAAGAACTGCGGATAACTGTCCAGTCTTGCAGGTCCTACGGGAGCTGTGGCACCAGTTCTATCCCCCAGCCTTTAAGGTTTAGGGTCTAAGGTTTAGGGTAAGCTTTAGGGTCTAACCTGTAGGTCAAGACGAAGCACCTCATTTGTACTTTACATACATCAACTTAATTTGTCGTCCTCATTGCTGTCTAGCACTAAACTAGGGTTTTTCAGGGTTTTTTGTACTGTATCTTTCTAGATTTTTGTTTGTTTAAGGAGAGGACTTGCTTCTGTGATCCCTCACCACTAGCACCTGATGCAGCTTGCCCTCTGCATGTTTTTAACTGGCAACCATCTACGGGTTCAAGGACAAAAAATATACACATATATATACTTAATGGACCTTTCATTAGGTTGCTTAGAAAGTGATCATATACTATTTATAACAAGGGGTAGAAACATATTATTCCCATCTAAATTCTAAACCAAGAAGCTATTACCCAATCTATACGTAGACTGGGAGTTTGGAACTGACATGCACACACAGCTATATTTAAAATAGATAACTAACAAAGACCTACTGTAAAATAAATAAATAAATTGTTTTTTTTTTAAAAAGAAGCTATTACCAATCCTAGCCATTAAAGCCTCACAACTCAAATTCCAACTATATTGTTTCTAAATTATTTAACAATCACTATTTTTAGATGTATTTAGCAAAAATCCTGATACCTTTGCTTATATTTTTTTCCTTTGGGGGAGATCAGATAAATGAACTTGTTATGACTGAAAAAATACGTAACAACTTCCCCCCTTTACTTTCTGTTTCCCTATTAAACAAAGTACGCTTTCTCTCCAACGAGGAGCTCCCACCAAAAAGGAAAAAACATTCTATGTTCTTTCATACACCAAACCAAATGACAACCTTACACTGGAAAAGCAAGCTACTGTTAAATAATGCTCTCCAATCTTGTTGAGATTAGCTTGAAAAGTTCCTGAATTGGGAGACAGCCCTTGAATGGCGAAGCCCATTTCCCCGTGAAGAAGAAAGAACCACCCCCCCCCCCGCAAAAAAAACTTTCTCTTTTTAAAGCACTGTGTAGTTTAAAACATTAAAAAAAAAAAATCAGCACAGCCATCACTTTGATGTGATGTAGATTAGATAGCAAGGTAAGACTGTAAATATACCAACTGTAATATGGAATTTAATTTTATCTATGAAGTATTCTGAAATCAAAGACGACATGCATCAGGCACATCCAACAGAAGACTTTTACAATGGTTTACATTTCCTTTTTATTTATTTCTTGAAACTGCCCATATTGCAGGTTTCTCATGGATGAAATATGGAACTGAGCAGATTCTTTTTTCTACAAAATTATGGTATAAACTTGCTCAATTTTCTATCTTATTGCTAATAGACCTTACAGGTGCACAGTTTGTAAAATAAACCCCTTAAGGACTGAATGCATAGAGCATGCTGCAAGGTACAAGAAATAAGCTAAAAATGAGCATATAAACCTACATCTGGACCAACACAGTACTGAATGCTGGCAAACATTTATCACAACACATGGAAAAATTAATAAAAGGAAATACAGTTCAGTCCTGAAAGGGTTAAATAGAAACCCTAATATATTATTGTTTCTAACCATCATCCCACATTACAGTGCTTGAAAACAAAGTCGAAAGTCTGGCACAGAAAATTACACACATTTGTTCAGTACTCATCAGAAACACAGCTGCTTTTGAAATCAAAAATAAGTAACTTGGTTAATAATTGAATAACATTTTGTTTCAAAAAGGAACACCCCCCCCACCCCCTGCATGGATTATCTGGTTAAACATGACTAGTTAGTTTAGTTCTTAAAACCTGTGTTGGAAATTGAGGGCACAGATGGTACTCGTTTCATTAAAACAAAAACAAAAACAAAACCCCCCCCAAAACAAAAAACTAACCAGTTACAATGGCAAATAAGTCTGTGCAGTACGAGTGACAAATATTTCACTAATTAATATATATATGAGGATGCCTTTATTTGCCACAGTTTAAGAAAAGTCAGCAGCAGGGTAAATTTTATACTAGTGTTCAACTCTGAAATCATTTAAAATAAAAAGGGCATTTTATATTTAAAGCCTTTAGCTTGCCATCCCAATCTACGTGATCAAATTCAACAGAACTAATAAAAACATATTGGATAACAGACTCAGCTTCTATGCATATTTTCAGAAACTGCATAGAATCATAAGAGCATAGGCTACACTTCTAATACAGAATTAAAAAAAAAAAAACCTTGAATGTACTATATTTTAACTGAAGTGGTTACCATTCTGAGAGTCTTTATAAGGGAAAATGACCAGCATCTCTAACAATGCCACCATTGGAGGAGGGGCCGTGTTCTACCATAACCAGAGGACAAGGCTCCTGAAAATTAAACACTGAAAATAATTCACAAAAAAATTTTAATCAGCTGATAAAAGAACTACTAGTAAACAATAAGTCACAACAGACAAATCATTTCAGTCTTTAGTTTGTGGTATGTAGAATGTCATAAAATAGTGGGGGGGGAGAATGCCTGTATAAGCATATTCTTGGACTTTTCAAAAAAAAAAAGAGGAAAAGGGTTTACAGTCTAATATTTCAATTATCTTATTAAAATAAACAAAGAGCCAAAATTAGATATAGTTAAACAGTAAAAAAGCAAAAGTTAATTTTAGTAAAGCCATAAACTTGAAAAAATTATTTTGAGTTGCAATGCTGGGTAGGAATAGTTTGTTCTTCAAAAGCATCTCATCTATTATCAGTTAATTTAATATAATTTGGTAACTAAATACCAAACCTGGGAAGTGGAGGAAACTTGTGGCCCATTCAAAGTAAGGCAGCACTGAAAACATTTCGGCGCTCTGAACAAAAAGCACTGTGTAAAGACTACTTCCAGACTCAACAGAGAGGAGAATAAATACTACTCAGAAACAAGCAAGTTTGCAAGAAAAAGCCAGTAAACAGTTAAAACAAAGAAAGATAAGGCCACAATGAATTCTGCCCTTGGTCACTGAAACAGATTTAAAGTGTGAGGCAGGATTAGCTTACAAGAGAAGCTAGTGACGGGAGCAGACTTAAAGAGAGAAAGGCTATATATAGTATAATGCAGCCTGTGAGTAATTAAAAAGGCTTGCAGTAAAGAGAAGACCACAATAACTTTTATTTAACCACTAACATGTTTTACAAATGACTTCCCCCTTGAAAACTGAGGAAAAAGTGATGTAAAGATGTTAGGAATTGTATTTACAATGGCAGAGTCTGAGCAGAAGAATGAGTAATGAAGATATCAAAGCTGGGGGTGGAGGGGAGTGGGGGGAAGCTACTAACAATGATGTTTTAAAAAGTCTACTGACGGAAACTTTTCAAAATAGCCCAGGACACCAGAAAGACAATTTCTGTATGGAAACTGCAGGAAGTTAGTTTTGCATTCTTAAGGTACTTGTGGCTCCTGTTTTATGGGACAGTAAAAGCTTACCACAATCTAGAGGTAGTTTTTACTCAAAGAAAGATGACTGTATTACTAGACCATGTCCTGTAACATCACACACATAGTTCCTGTAGAAAACGTAGCCCAATGAGTCTGCTGCAATTTCTAAGACACCGAACATAGGCGTGCCCAAAGTGCAGGAACAAACCCAACGTGAAACTGGTGAGCCCAGCACACACAGCCAGCACACAACCCTGAATGCAGCCAAATCTTAACTGAATGGAGAAGAAATGCTTTCCGAGTAGGAGACATTTGTGAAGATGCTCAGTACTGGGGAAGAGAAAACAAAAAAAGGCAGGGAGAGAAATGGAAAGATAAAGTACATTTGCATTTTTATAATCTTACAGCTATCTGTTCCTAAAGTACTGTCTTCCAGCTATTTTAGTTGGTCATCTAGTAAAAGCATCTTGTTTCAAGGTTACAATGATATTTTGGCCTAGGCTACCCCCCACAAAAGAAAGTAAGTAAAAACATGCTTTTGCTGAGATTTTCCTCATTATACAATAAGGGCACCATCTACCAACTGGTAGCAAATACTTCTGATGATATTTTTTTGTCATATGCCAACAAGGCAGAAAAACACCCTGCTGAATGAAATCACTGGGAATATTCTAGCTTCAAAATAAAATGTTTAACTTACACATAATACAAGTTATGTACAAGATTAGGAGGAGGGAAAACCTGAACAAATCCTGGACCGCACAGATACATTTCTGCACAGGAAAAGGGAAGGGAACACTGTAAAAACCAACATGTTCCACGCCATTAACTCATTAATGACTAAATGGCCACATTTAATTCCAGGTAAATGTTAGAACCTCTTGGATTACAACTATAAATACATTTTTTTAAAAAAAAGGAACACAGAAATAACTATCAACGGTGTCTGAGAATAGAGACTAAGTCAACGTACGTTGCATGTATTGCAGGCAAGGCAGAGGCATTTTTTTTAAAGCTTTTGCACAGACTTCAAATAATCTTAAAAGAAATATGCAGGCCTTTACAAGATTTGAATTGCTGAAATCAAAACACCTTCCACTCATGAAAAGTCATAAGACTTCAGCTTTTAAAGAAAATAATAAAATAAAAAGAACAGTTCCAGCCTTAGACCGAAAAGACCTGGAGGAGTATGGTAATTAGATTAAACAAGCATGGTCAGGCTTGGAACCTGAATGTACTTAAGAGCAAAAGCTCAAAGGGGGTGGGGAGGAGAACAACCTATTTGGTAACAAAGGTGTACTATATATACTGTGATATAAAAAAGGTATGGTGAAAATGTACCTTTTACTAAAGCTTATACAAGTTCCTTGGTCCATAAAAACTATGTTAGATTTTCGTCTTCTAGTTTGATTACCTTTTACTCCAGCCACATCTCTATTTCTTGCCCATTTAAACAAAACCAAACAAAAACCAAACAAACAAAAATAACAGCCGAAAAAAATCAATTTCCAAAAGTTTGCACATTTTGATGTTTTTTTGTTTGTTTTACTGTGGCTTCTGCACTTCAAATCAGCACTTGCAGGTAATGGGGTTTTTGAATAGTATCACCGGGTACAAAAAGTTTTCCCAAGAAACCACAAAAGATTGTTCATTTTTTTCTTTCTTTTTTTGTCAACATTTTGCCGCACTCAAGTCAGTGTAAGTCCTAGCAAAAAGACGGTAGTTAGGACACAACTGTTGCTGTAGATGACGTGACATTGGTTGAATTTGTGCTGACATTTGTGTAACTCCCCTCGCTGTTTGTGTTTGACTCATTAGGGGGCACTTGGCTAGAGTTGGCTCGAAGGATTGCTCCCGCCGCGCTGCAATGTGGCCGTGGCCCCGGTTCTGGGGTGTAGGTAAAGGTAAGGCTGGTGGAATAAATGATTCCATCATTACGGACCAAAGTTACTGGAACCTGGACTGGCTGCCGGACCCATCTCCAACCTTCTCGGAATGCAGAAATGTCTGGGACAACACAGAGCATACTCTCTCCACATCTGAGGAGGAAATAGAAATCACTTAAAAGCACAGAAAATTTTAGAACTGAAACTTAAAACAAGGTTGCTTAAATACAGGACAACCAATATCAGGAAAGAGTCTCATGAACCCACACCCCCATCAAAAACTCTAGATGATATAAAAAATTATATTAAGTACCTGTACATAGTTTCAGCTTCTACATCCCCAAACCACACTCGTAAATTTGGAGTGAAATTCTGTCCTGTAAGTTCAAGCATTGCTACGTCCCCACCGCCATTCAACTGCAATTCACAGAAAATCAGAACAATGTTGAGAAAACTTTTCATTTTTCATTAAAGTACAGTTTCTCATTCGACTATCATGTGCAAAAAAATGGATAAATAAAATGCTTCTTTTAAATGACATGATTATAAAGACAAAGTGAACTAAAAATATCGCAAGCTAATATACAAACTGATTTACATTTAAATTTTCTTGCATAAAATTATGTTCCTCTCATTTTCTTTTTTTAAAAAAATCAACAAATGATGTGTAACAAAACCTCCAAAAAAAAAAAAACTCCAAATCACAAGATTTGGAGAAAAATCAAATTTATTGTGAAATAAAATTATGCCATGTCATAGCTGAGATCAGTTGCAAAGAGCTAAAAGTCAACTTGTAAGTGGTCTCACCTGAAGACTTTCTACAACAGGCACCGGTGTGACTGGGGCAAGGACAGGGCCCATCCCCTCGTAAAATGTATACTCTGCCTTATCCGTACTAATGATTGTCCAGGAAGCGCCATCATTTATCATCTCTTTATTTGGTTCTTTTGGGCATGGAGTGGCCTTATGAAAAAATTGGTTAGAAATTGAGTTTTATATACACTGCAGTATAAGACACTTTAACAAAGTAACACTCATAGACTGGCATTAACATGAAGAGAATTTAGTACAAATTTATAAACTTCCCAAGCACGATGCTTCGCCAATCCCTAAACAAACAGAATATTAACATGGAAACCTCACATATGGCAGGTTTTATTTTAATACAAAATATTTCAGTGACATACTAAAAACTAATAATACCTTCAGAATAACCATTTAAGTAAGAGTATACCAGTACCTGTATAATTTCTTTAATAAAAGATCAGTATCTGTGATGTAAATAGCTGTTTAAAACTCTTTAGGGATCCCTGAGAGAGAGAGAATGGGAGCCCCCTCCTGCTCAGAGAACAGCTAGAAACTTACGTACTTTCAGCGGGAAAGAACCGAGATATTGACTGACAATCCCCTACCCCTATCTCGAAACACCTAGGCCAGACCATCAGTGCTGGGTTGAGGAGACTGGCTGTGTGTGCATCTCTCTGGAAAGTCTCCAGATGTTCAGAAATGAGTTTCATGTGAAAGCATAACTATTCTATTAAGTCATCTGTTCATGTCATAAATGTCCTCATGAAAGCCTTCTGAGTAAATATAGTTAAAAATTAGCTTTTGAAATGTGTCATCATTACTATCTTAGAAGACCCCAATATAAATCTGATGAGAATTATGAACGCTCCTCCAAAATAGGCATGTATCATATACAATGTTGTCTGCACATAATTTCAGGTGATTTACTGAATACCCAACATCTAGTTTTGGATAATCTGAGGGGCTCTCTGTTCCTCAGAACTAGATGTTAACTGCTTCTCTTAGAACATTTTCATAGTTTTGAGTTCTTCCTTGATGTAGGATGACTGCTATATCCGAGGAACATGTGGGCTAAGGACCCTTGAACTTGAGATAAATATCTGAACACACAGCTTCATGTATTTGGATACAATTGACATTAAGCGAGAGTTTCATGTTTCTAAATGCTGCTAACCTAATAGTTTGCACATTTTAGATTTTACCAGTAATTTAAAAACATACCTGAAACTGAATTATTCTTTCTTGAGAAAGGCACAAGTACATTCTTTCTGTATCCTTAAGGTAAAATGCACATTTATGGAGCTGTGACACAGGATCATCTGCATCCAGTAATGCGGTCTGCTTATCAACTTTCCTAATTATCTGTATTTCAACAATTAAAAAAGAAAAGATCATCACATATGGAGTTTTCATTTCGTACACTGTCAAGAGTACACAGAAAGAATCTGCTATATAATAATACACCACAGGTATTTGTAACATACCTACATACACAAAAGAATTTACAAACAATAAAGCTAGGTATAAGAATACTTTTAGATTGCAAGCATGTTAAGAATGTAGAGATGTTACCTTTTTCCTTGAACTCCTAAAAAAATAGGGCAGACTGGCACCTGTTTTCTAGATCAGTGGTTTTCAAACTTTAATGTCCATACAAATCATCTGGGGTTCCTGTTAAACACACATCTGTTCTGATCCCACAGATCACATACGGGGCGTGATATTCTGCATTCTAGCAAATTTCCAGCTGATGTTAATCCTGACCTTTCCAATAATATACAACGACAAATATTCCAACATCAAAGGGGAAATTATCTCTAAAGGCCACTATGGGTGTGCTAGTCGGTACCTAAGTCCAGTATCATACTTATATGTTGTTTTAATTTTAACCTAAAAGAGGTTATCATTTTGCAGATTAGGAAACAGGCTCAGAGGTCAGGTTAAGTTCCTCAAAATCACTTGGTTAGTAGCTCAGGGACCAGAATATGATTCCAAGGCAGGCTGCTTGTCCAGCCTGAACTCTTTCCATTACACACTATGACCTTATAATCCAAATATTCCACAAAACACATATGGATATCTGAAAGATAATCCTATCAAACCTTAGACGTTACTTATCACATGGAAGGTAATCACTAAGCGTTTGAGGACTATGAAAATCACTCCCAACAGCATACAAACATGTTAGAACTATTTCTCATCTAAAATCAGAAGAAACCCCTTCCTTGACTACACATCCCTGTCCTTCCCTCTCACCACCCTGTTTCTCTGCTCTCCTTTACATCAAAACTCCTCTTCCTCACCACCCCAACTCCTGAAATCTCTCCAGCCTTTTGTCTCAAAATTGCTCTTGGTGAGGCCACTAAGGACTTCAAGACAGTTGAATCCCATAAGCACTTCTCTGTCCTCATCTTATTAGCTTTCTCAGAGGCATCCGACCCACACATTCTTCCTTCGGGGATACACCTGCTCTAACCAGCCTTTAGTCTCCACAGCCGAGTCCCCAAATCTCTTCTCCTCTATCCATACTCTATACTTTCTATACTATTTAGAAGTTGGCAACTCCTAAATTTGTATTTCCGGCCATAGCCTTTCTCAGGCACTCGACGTGTATATTTAACTACCTATTCAACAGTTACACTGAAAATGTCTATTAATAGGCATCTCAATTTAATCAAAAACAGAATTTTTTATTTCTTCCTAAATGTGATCCTCCCTCAACTCATAGCTCAATAAATGACACCACGTTCACTCAATCCTAAAACTGTGGAGTCATCCTTGACTCCTTGCTTTCTCTTATACCCAAGCTGTCAACAAATTGTTAGGTCTACCTTCAAACAAATCGGTCACCTCTCATCACCTTTCCAGTACCATCCTAGTCTAAGGTACCATCATCAACTTCTCGCCCGAATTTTGACAAAAGCCCAACCACCTTTCTCTTTGTTTCCACAGCTATGTCCCTATGCTCTCTTATCCACAAAGCAGCCAGAATTATTCTTCCAAACATAAACCAACCATCATTCCCTGTTTAAAACTCTCCAGTGGGGACTTCCCTGGTGGCGCAGTGGTTAAGAAGCCGCCTGCCAACGCAGAGGACACGGGTTTGATCCCTGGCCCAGGAAGATGCCACATGCCACAAGCAACTAAGCCCGTGTGCCACAACTACTGAGCCTGAGCTCTATAGCCCACAAGCCACAACTACTGAGCCCGTGCACTGCAACTACTGAAGCCCACACGCTCTAGGGCCTGTGTACCTCAACTACTGAGCCTGCGTGCCGCAACTACTGAAGCCCACGCACCTAGAGCCCGCGCTCCACAACAAGAGAAGCCACCGCAACGAGAAGCCCGTGCACCACAAGGAAGAGTAGCCCCCACTCGCTACAACTAGAGAAAAGCCCGCGCACAGCAATGAAGACCCAATGCAGCCAAAACCCCCCCCCCCCAACACACAAAACCCTCCAGTGGCCTCCTATCTTACACAGATAACATAAAGTCCGTAGTGTAGATAGAGAGAGGGACTTGACAAGATGTTGCCCATGGCTAACCTTGCAGAATCATGTCCTGGCACTTCCCCCCCGCACCCCGACTTGGCTCTAGCTACAATGGCTTCCTTGCTAGTCCTCACACATTCCTGTCTTAAGTTCTTTTTGCCCTCATTCTGTCAGCCTGAAATGCTCCTCACCCAGTTTCTGCTTTCCCAACTTCATTCTGGTCTCTGTTCAAATAGCCCCACTTCAAAAAGACTTCTCTGACCACTCTAAGCACTCCCATTTCCCTATCCCTTTATCCTGTTTTAATGTCTTATCACTTACATTAACCTTTTAATACATTATATGGGTATTTCTTTAGCTGGTTTTTGTTGACATCCCTTCCAAAATGTAAGCTCCGGGCTTCCCGGGTGGCGCAGTGGTTAAGAATCCGCCTGCCAATGCAGGGGACACAGGTTCGAACCCTGGTCCGGGAAGATCCCACACGCCGCGGAGCAACTAAGCCTGTGCAACTACTGAGCCTGTGCTCTAGAGCCCACAAGCCACAACTACTGAAGCCCACGTGCCTCACGTGCCTAGAGCCTGTGCTCTGCCACAAGAGAAGCCACCGTGACGAGAAGCCTGCTTGCCTCAACTAGAGAAAGCCCACACGTAGCAACAAAGACCCAATGTGGCCAAAAATAAATAATAAAATAGAATAAATTAATTAAAAAAAAATGTAAGCTCCAAAAGGAAAGAAAGTCTACCTTGTTCACCAATGTATCTCCAGCATCTAGACAGTTCCTGGCCCATGGGTTCAGGGCTATTTGTAGAATGCACGTATGCATGTAGGACTGTAATACTTTGCTCCACAATGAACATCCTTAACAGTAGCTACTCACAAGATATTGTGAGGACTAAATGAATCAATATATGTAAAAGTGCTCAGAACAGTGCTATTAATATTATGCAATATTATTGGGTTTTTATTACTTGATTCACACCGGACATATTCCAAGATGATTTTTCTTTACTTAAACCACAGCTATTAAAAATCCCAATCTTTTAAAGTCAACATTCTTCATATTTACATATTTTTAGCTCTGCAGTTTATTAGTCAGAATATTTGTCATTCTACTCACATCACCACTAATTTTTGAGTTTAAAGGGAGACACTACACTTTTAGCAATTACAGCTTCTAAGATATTCTGTGAGACTAATTAAACTCAAGCAAAATGTTTCCATTCAATGCTAGTCTTAAAGGTGTATTTAAATTTAATGATGTTTGGATTTTAGGGAAATAAGTGAATTTTGAATGATGTAAGTTTAAAGCTTACTGTAAGTCTACCACACTCAACTATGACTTCACCACGTAAGAGTCAACATTTGCCTATGACACTGTCATTTCTGTAATCCACTGTTTCTCCACTACCTAGTAATAATAAGCATATTGAGAACATGGGCCATGTTTGGTTCAATTTTATTTCCCATAATAGTTCTCTGGACATAGACACTGCTGAATGACCTAGTCTCACCAATAAAGAAACCAAATATGTCCCCTACTATTTGGTATCAAACTTGCTGTGATCATTTCTAATTATTAAGAATAGGAAAGAAATCTGAGAAACCAGATAGTACGAATGTTCTAACAAGCTACGTGTGAGGAATTCTACATTCATAAAACACCAGATGTTACTCCAACCAGCTCTCTCTCTTCTACGCTGGCTTTGTAGGTTACTGGTACAGTATTTTCCATATTTCTGAGGTAAACAGGATACAGCTCTTAAGGACAGAAAACATATCTTATTCATATTCCTAGACTATACCTGGTAAATGCCCAGGCTGAATTCATGTCGCTAATTAGTTTACCTAACAGATTTTAGATGTCCCAAACCTCTGGGGCATCTGACAGCCTTGAGGAAGTGGGATAAATACTAACCAGTGTTTCTTGTTAGTTGGCTAGACCTACATAGACTATGCCTGTTTTTAAAGTATCCTAAAAACCAGGATTTCTCATTAGAACATTCATCCCATTGAAACTCGGTCTTGGAGGGAGAGTGTTTTCCAAGCAAAGATCTCCAATAAGGCTAATATTCTAGGAAGCATAGCATGCAATGTTCAGATATTAAGACAGTGTCATCCTTCTCGAAAGCACATGAAAGCCTCCTCTGAAAAACGTGCCTTTGTTGAAAACTGCACGTAAGTGGAGGTATAGGAGGGCATGAAGTAGTGCAGACCATATAAAGCCTAGCTATGTCTCTGAGGAATCTAATTCCTCAGTCACACAATCTCTAGAAAGGGGTATTTATCGGTACATTGTTAACGATGGTACTGCAACTTTTCCTAAGGCATTCTCTGGATCAGGTTTTTTATTGCAACATTTTTATAATCAGAGCCCCATACTTTTATATGTTGAAAATATTCAATTAAAGATGATGTTCAAGGGGCTTCCCTGGTGGCGCAGTGGTTGAGAATCCGCCTGCCAATGCAGGGGACACGGTCCAGAAAGATTCCACATGCCGCAAAGCAACTAAACCCGTGCGCCACAACTACTGAGCCTGTGCTCTACAGCCCGTGAGCCACAACTACTGAGCCCGTGTGCTGCAACTACTGAAGCCCGTGTGCCTAGAGCCCATGCTCCACGACAAGAGAAGCCACTGCAATGAGAAGCCCGCTCACTGCAACAAAGAGTAGCTCCCGCTCACCGCAACTAGAGAAAGCCCACGTGCAGCAGCGAAGACCCAACACAGCCAAAAATAAATAAATAAATTTATTAAAAAACAAAAAAAAAGATGACCTTCAAGCAAGGCAGACCGGTACTTTACATGAAACTAAGTGAAAACACTATTTTAAGATTTGAGTCTGTCTTCTAAGTGGCCCATATATAAGCTGTTGCTGATCAGAGGCAAAGGCCTCTGAATAGTGATTCTATAGTACAAGCATTTAATACCAAAGCAAATAAACATTATCCTTGGAATACAGTGACACATAATGAATGAAAAGAGAAGAACCTGAGTAAATGTTGATTCAGCTTGTTTTTTGGTGTGTCTTTCTTTCTAATTTATGCACCCTTCTTTCCCTACCTTTCCCCTTTTTATAATTTGCCTCAGGTTCAAGGTTTTGTAAATTTATATTACTATGTTTCACATATTTTGGCTTATGAAGTTGAAATGGGAAATAAAATCACCTTGTACAACCATGACACAGAAAAATATAAAACAAAAACAATAATATGATGCATTTACTTAGTTATAGATCAACCCAGCTCCTGCTGAAATAGTCCCAGAAAATATCAGCCAATGAAATACTTCATCAAAGAGATACAAAGCATATTCAGGCAAGTAATACTAAAAGTTCTTCCATTCACTTAACCCCCTCCCCCAACCTGACCTTGAATCAAACTTACTCATAAACCCCCTCCATCTTTAATATAACTAAATTGTGTTCTGCTTCAGAAAAGGAGGGGGAAGATGACAAAGGGTATATGAGGGGCTTTTGCTTCATTCTGCTAAGAAAAGCAGTTTTTTACAGTTTTAAAAAGCCCCAAACACTATGCCTCTCTACCAGAGTAAGAAACACCAATTTTATTTAATTTTTAAATCCATCTTCCTTTGGGAGAATAAAATAATAAAAATTTTGCTTATATTTTTAAAGAAATTTGAAATTCTATGCTTTTGAAAACTTGGTCCTGTGTTGGGATGAAGCAGGTACCACAAAGAATGAATAATGTATCTACATTAGTTAAGAAAATAAATCCTAATGTAACTTTATAGTGCCCTCTATTGAACATATCCAGATATACAACCAAAAAGGGAAAAGGCCACCAACATTTATTAGAAACAGTCATGAAATCATTAAGGCCATACCAATCTTGGGAGTGCCATGCCAGTAACTGAACACACAAGTTTGACTGTTTGTCCATAATGGATGTATCCATCGCGGACTGTGAATTCTTCTCCTTCTGATTCATCGTCATCCACTGCAGTGCAATGGAAACAGATCAAATTATCATCTTTTAGAACTTATTAATCTGCTTATAAAAATGACAAAACTTAATATATCTGTATGTCTTATTAGTAAAAAGAATTTAACAATTTCACACGAAAAAAATCAAATGCATATTTTTATACTCACAGAGATGAATGTAAAATGCTCCCCACTGCTGAGAACTGGCATGGAAATTACCTCCTTCTACATGCAAGTATCTGGTACTAACTGTCTGGGATCGAAGTCGATTAAACAGAGCCACCTTTGTTCCTGAGGCAATGCATACTGCAAAGAAAACACAGCTCCTATTTATGTGAGTGGGGTTTGGGGGCGGGGCAACAGTGGAGAGCAAGAAGGGACCAGTACCCGGTGAATCAGGACTATGCATTACTATCATTTAATAATTAATGGATTCTGCTAACAATTTTTTTAACCCTCTAAGAAAATACAGATGATACCCCCAAAAATCAAGGTAACTCTTTATCAATAATGTCAAGCTAAAGATATATAATATGTCCATAAAAATCTTTTTTTTTTTTTTTTTTTTGCAGTACGTGGGCCTCTCACTGCTGTGGCCTCTCCCGTTGCGGAGCACAGGCTCCGGACGCGCAGGCTCAGCGGCCATGGCTCACGGGCCTAGCCGCTCTGCAGCGTGTGGGATCTTCCCAGACCGGGGCACGAACCCGTGTCCCCTGCATCGGCAGGCGGACTCTCAACCACTGTGCCACCAGGGAAGCTCCATAAAAATCTTTTTAAAATGAGAGTTACACAGTATGTTTAATGCGGTGCTGTTTTTTAAAAGGAAGTTACTTTTAAAATAATAAGTGTCCAACAGTAGGAAATTGATTAAATAAATTATAATATCATTCACCTATTTGAATAATGTGTATTTAAATGCATTGGTAAGAAAATATCTCCCTGATATATCACTGAATGGAAAGCACACTCTTTATACTGTGGTTTCATTAGGTAAACATATACATTTTTATGTGACAGCATGTGTCTCCATGTGCTCACATCTATTTCTGTGGAATACATTCATAGAGAGGGGTGTGGAAGGATGTTTACCAAAGTTGATGGCAACTGCCTCTGGATACTGTGATTTTAGAGATTTTGCTTCCTTCTAAATACCTTATAGTATAGCATTGCATGAAATTTCTTGAAAAAACAACCACATCTATGTAAGCAAGAAAATACTCTGAAAATGAAATATGTTCTCTGCCATCAAGTAACTTAGAGTCAATAGAAATATAAAACTAAAGAGGTAATCCTGTAATTTGAATTGGAAACAGCCTAAATACATGAAATTATACCTCCTGATGCAAGAACACTACATCGCTGTGAAGTAGGCTTGCCCTCCAGTAACAAACAACAAAAAAGAACCAAAGAACAACCACCTTAAATCTGATCAAGTTTCTAAATTTACTGACAAAGACTCTCTCCTTGACCAAACTTTAGACAGGCTCCTCTGAGCCCTTTTTCCACCGGGACTCTTCCTTGGGCCCTGGCATTGGCCTGCCTAGCCCGGTTATTGCCAAGAATCCTGCTAAACCATCCTCCCATCCTTGATATCTGCTCAAGTTCCTCCCCTCCACCTTCATATCTGATCATCTAGGCCTGTCTTCATAAAAATTCTGGTAAGCTAGTTTGTCAAGAATCCCCCTTCCCTTCATGTCTCTCTCCTCTTAGTAACTTTCCATCCACTGATCCCCTCAACTCTGTTCCTTGGCTATAAATCCCCACTTCTCCTTGTTGTATTTGGAGTTGAGCTCAGTTCTTTACTGAAATCTCTTTTCCCTACTGCAACGGTAGTGAATAAAATCTGTTTCTAACCATCTTTAGTGTCCAGCTCTGTTTCTCTCTGACACTACAATTTACAGAAAATACATTAAACTACACCAAGGAAATATAATTAGCAAATTCCAGTATGTGGAAATCTCTCATGGTCAACTGACTCAGTCTCTTGAATAAATAAACTACAAGAAGAAAGAGAGAAACAGAGAGATGTAGAGAAAATCCACAGATTAAAAAAAACTCAAGGACATGTCAATACAATATATAGAATAATATCTGGTGGATCTTATTTGAATTTTGATTCAACCAAAGGGCTAAAAAAAACCCCCACATTTTAGGTAATTTTAAATTTGAGCACTAGCTAGGTATTTAATGATACTAAGAAACTATTTCTTTTTATAGTTGTTTTATGTTTATTTTTATGTGATCATGGTATTGTAATTATATTAGAAAACAAGAGACCCTATCTTTCAGAGATACACAGAAATATTTACAGATGATATAGTGTCTTGGATTTGCATCAAACTAAAATGAGGGCAGAGGAAAGTGTGTGGGGGGGGTAAGGTTACAGATGAAGATAAATCAAGACTGGCTTGAAGTTAAGATCACTGCTGCAAGTTAGAGGATGAACACAAGAGGTTTCATGTCATTAATGCAACTGTCTACTTTAGTACGTTAGAAAATTTCCATAATATAAAGTAAATGATGATGATAATAATGACCAAGCAGACTAAAAACCATCCACTACATAAAATCCCATTAAGTTCATAATAAAACAAAACAAAATAAAAACAAGCAAATAAACCAAAATCCTAAAACCTCACTGGTCACCTTCAAAGAATACTATTGTTATTCTGCAAATTAGTAAATAAGAACCTATCCTGGCTTTTCTCCATAGACTATACTTAAAGCAAACAGCTAACAAATGCAAAAGTTAAGAATAAAAGAATTAGAAAAATCATCATTTTGCAGCCCCTAATGAAATACTAGGTTTAAACAGCCATCATGAAGGGCTACTAAAATCATTAGGTTAAAGGTCGCTGAGGAACTTTATAACTGGTGGATTAGACTAACAACAGCTCAAACTACTATAACCAATCTTAACATAACAAGAAGTGGGATAACCAGATATTACATGACTTCTGATCTGATAGAAATGAACATACATAGGATCAGCTAATTCTAAAATAAAAGTTTAACCAACAGTTTGTAGAAAATATGAGAGACAGAGGAACACGTAATCAGCCAGATCCAGAATATGGAAATTCCACAGGAAAAATGACCCAGTTTCAACAAATAAATAACACAGAAGGAAAAACAGGCTGGTGGAAAGAGAAGAAACCATTACAGATTAAAATGTATGAACCTTGTTTGGATCCAAGTTTGAACAAGCCAACTGTTGAAAATAACAACACAACTGTAAAAAGATATTTCTGAGACAATGTGATAAATCTGCACACGGACTAGCCATTAGATGGCATTAACGAACTACCATCAACTGTTGTTGGGTATAATGATGTTTAAAAGAAAATTATCTGTTAGAGAGTCACTACTGCAGAAATGGTTGAAAGGATAGGATGTCTGAGATGTACATTAAAAAATTCCAGCAGTTGGAGGAGGAAGGAAGGGGTGGTGGTGATAGAGATGATAAAACAGAATTGGTAAAACCTGTTGAGGCCAGGTGGTCACCTGATACTACTTTCTCCCTTTTATGTAAGTTTGAAAGTTTTCATAATAAAAAGTTAAAATAAAGAAAACTGGGCACAGAGGTTGAAGTTTTGTAAAATTCAAACAGCATTTATCTGCTACAGTCTAAAAATGTGCTGATGAGGCAGCAGTCTCTGCCAGTGCAACTACATTAAAATTTTTGTTCAGGTTCTCAGGACAGCCTTCCAAAGCCCACTTGATATAACAGTGTTTCTCAAAGGGGTGCTTTTGATATTCTAAGTGAATCAATTCTTTATGGAATGGGAACCTTCTTGGGCACTGCAGGACATTTAGACACCCTAATGCTAACATTACTCCCTCCAGTCACTGTGACAGCAAAAGGAAACTCCCATTTCTCCAAATGACTCTGGGTGGCAGTGATGAACCAATTCTGTTTAAAAACCACTTCCCTACCCCAGGTACTGCCCATTTTTAATTTAAAAAAAAGACAATAAAGCAGCAGTAATAACTGAATATGACTTTTTCAGATAAAGTAAAGACCACAAAAATATTTGAAAAAAAGGAACTGGCTACTGAAAAGCAATTTTTAATTTAAAAAATAGCTGAATTTGTCTTATTAGTTCATGTTGGGAGTTGAGGACAAAAAAGAAAACAAGTATACATACAGTCAGCATTTTTCAATGACTGCTTCTTTTTGGAAGGTTTGGAGATGACTTTTATCCGCTTGCTGAGGAACACACCAATGTCATCACTATTGCCATAGAACATCTTTACAGAGAGCATGAAGTGCTTTCTCTTGTCTGAATCAGATATATACAATGTTTTGGCCGTGCAATAGTTCTGTGAAAGAAAAGGCAAGTTTTAATAGCACCAAAACCCTGTCAGCTATGTACCTACAACTCAGTATGGCCACGTCTAAGTTTGATCAGACTTAAAGGCAGTAACTCCACAGAAGCGCTGATAAAACCAACTGTGAAAAGTACTGATCTCTGAAAACAAAGTACAAAGTCTTCCTTATCAAGTCTACGAAATACTAACACTGTGTTGTTTTCCCCTCTCAAAAAGGCTTTTAAAAAATAGTCTTTTCTTGTTTTATACAGCTCTACATCTATTTCACAGAATTACCAATGTTATAGCAGTAATTTTTTAAAATAAAATTTTACAGTTAAAAAATTCCATGACTGTCTTTCTGCAAATAAGATATAAAGAAGGCCATCAGAACTCAATTAAATTATGTAAAAGATTTTAGCACTGATCCTTCTCAAAATAGTGCATACAACGTTTTTTCTTATATAGTCGAACACTAGAGTAACCACCCATGAGTCTGAGGAAAACATTATTTTTTGAAATAGCTAACACTTTGCCCAATGGGATAATTCCTATTGCATCACCAAAAGAACTGAATTTAAAGGTACTAGAGAAAACAAACGCAGCAAAGTACTATGTCAGTTTACCAGAAATTAAATTCTGGTAACTGAAAGGATAGTATTAAAGAGTTATAGCACTTGCTATAACTTGCTATAAAGATACTTTGAAATGCTACTATTTCAATTACATATGACAATTCTAAAATCTTTCCTATTCCCTTGATCCCTGTGAATGAGGGAAGAGGCTAAATTATTGATCTATTTTTCCAGATTGGGTAAATAATGCTCAAGTACAGCTTAAGTATTTAAAAATCTGAAATATATATATATATATTTTAAAATCATTGCTCTACTTTAAAATTAGGCTAAACAAGTTTCTTGACTACCTCTGCTGTGTGTTCCTTTTAAAAAGTAGTGCAAATGCCACTCATTTAGAAAATAACTAATGGGCTCTAGGTGTTTAATCTTTAAAATATTACTCACAGCCAATTTTAGTACCAGAACAAAAATCATGCCATACTTTATTGCATTTCTCAACAGCAAAGTTATATAAGAAAACTTAGGTGCCGTCTTAAATATTTTACTCAATTAAGTTTTTATAAATTCAAAAGGGTGATAAAAGTTTTGAGAGGCTTTGTTCTGCACAAGGCAAAGTTAAGATAAAGCTCATAATAGTAATAAGAAAAATTAAAACAACAGCCTTTGCACTCACTCAGCTCCTTTCACTCCAGGATCTCTAAGTGTTCAGGGGTGCTGAACCATGGCCCTGCCATACTTTAAAAAGCTCTGAAAGTCAAATAAAGCCTGAACTATGGAATTATTCTACAACGTAAGACAAAGTCTAGGAAGATAGGTATTGATACACTAAAGGAGAGTACTCCCATGTAACAAAAATAAAATGTGTATCTAAATGAAAGCAATTAAATTCTAATGGCAAAACTTAAAAATGATGAGATCACTTAATTTGAGTGTTAACATTAGGGGATATGATCTATATCAGAAAAGAGAAAATACTGAAATCTAGCATAAATGATAAGGTAGACTGGCAAACAGGAAAGGAAAAAAGGGCAGAGAAAATTGGGTCATAACACAGACACTCAAAGGGCTTTATTTTGTTTGGAAAAAGCAAACATACATATATCTCCTTGGAAGGAAAGGAAATATACCCCTAATTACAAAAGTGAGTAGTTTGAATCCACAAAAAAATTCTAATAAAGCTATCTCAGATACAATTTATTATTTTTTAAAAGCTATAAAGCTACTGACCACAAACTACTCAAATTTCACAAGGAAAAAAAAAGGACAAGTCACTGATTCAGAAAGAGTATTACGGCTTTAAGACGCTAAGTAAATAAAAACTGAAGTTACATTTGCTTCATCATACCAAAAGGCTAAATTAGCTAATAAAATTCTAAAACAGAAAATGGCATATAATAAATCTGTCTATAAACAATGAAGAGTTTAACTTAAAAAACATCTTTCTGAAGACAAGATCTTCAGGCAAGAAAAAAAATCTGCCCTGAAATAAAAAAGAAATACCAAATATAATGCTACAAAAGTTTATAGAAATATCTGAATTGTAGAATTTGAATTATATAAACAAAACAATACTAGCAACATAGGTGTAGGGGATGTAATTCTTTAAAATAAAAATACAAGTGTGCTAATTAGGGAAGTAATTCATGTTGCATAGCTTACCTAGCTCCGACTATGTAAGACAAAAACTGAGGAAATGAATAGTTAACAAATTAAAAACATCAGATCCAAAATATTGCCAACATATAGTTAAATGTCATGACCATAAAATAAGGGCTGCATATATTAGAACTTTGTTGTAATGAAGATTAAAATAAGGACAAATACCCAAAAATGCAAAATAAAATCCCTCCTTTTTCAATAATGACTAATTGTACCATTCAATGAACAGGCTGTTGAAAGAAAATAACATTACCTTAAATGAATGGAGGTTAAGTGAGATAGGACCAAAGTGCCTCTTTCTGAAGCTCAGCATCTATCCACTGCTTGGTCCATCTTTGCCTACCTGGACCCAAACTTACCTTGTTCCTGTACCTTGATGGTCCAAGCATATGATTATGCTGTTCTTTCTGCCTGGAATGACTTCTGCTGACTCTCAACCAGTCTTATTCTCTATAGACTTCTCTAATAGCATTTCTCATTATAACTAAATATTAACACATAATTCTGGCATACAGACACTGTACTACCCTGTAAGTAGGTGTTTTAAGCACTATTTAATGCTCAAGCTCTCAGGTATTCTCTTCTGCAAATTTCTAGGGCTTGGGGAAAGGATATAATGGCAGAAGTTGAAGAAAGATGTACTAAGCCATTATGCTGAGAAAAGCAAGTGGCGGTGCTGTTTGTTTGTTATTTCCTCCCTTAAAATTGCTGGAAGCTGGAAGTGTTAAAGCAAGCAATGAAGTTCAATTAACACAATTATATACAATGGTAGCTAGAATCCCTGGCTTCTTACTACCTATCTGATCTAATTACCATTCACAGTTCCAAATGTCTAGATGTACAGCTTAGAGACATATCACTAAGACTTTCTATATAACAGAAAAATAGATGAGACAGGACTAAGGCCTATTTGTTCAACCCACTACTTAAATATATCTTTTACCTTGGCTCAAGGGTCATAATTCAGAAATATTTTACACTGCTCTATTTTAAGATGAAACAACCTTTACTGTAGTAAGTTTTATCCCAAACCTAATTTAAAATACATAGTTGACAAGCCTTAATGATAAAAATATAGAGATACAAATGACATAAACATACTCAAATTTGAAGGAGGTTGAAGGCTCCTTATTCTCAGTGCTCATTATCTGTAAAATGACTAAAATTGAATGAGAGTACAAATCCGCTAGCTCACCACCCTCAACCTTGCCCTGCAAACTCCCATTCTTAGTGTCAGCTACAATACAGCAAACACTAAGACATTCAACAAAGACTTACTGAATGAGAAAACAGCTATTTATGCAGTACTTTAAAAGACATTCATGTAGTCACTGAAATCAGAAATAACCATTTTTCAAATTTTAATATCAAGAGAAAACAAAGTAATAACTAATGCTAAGTCACTGAAGAACTACTTTTGAAAACTAAAGGTACAGACTGAAATAACTGCTTTCTAAATCGATAAAATACAATTAGTAAAACTAACTCATAAATTTTATTCCCTAGTAAAGTAATCAAAGAAAATACCTAAAAGTTTGAGTAAAGGTAATCATGGCTGTTCTTGTCTACACAGCATATTTCTGTTCTACACTGAAGCTAGGTAAAACATTTATGATGTTTATAACCCATAATACTTTGTTTCTATATAAGACTAAGATTAAATGAGTAGAATAAAACATTATTGAACTATGTATTTTCATTGTTGTTTGACTATCATGCCCCTGTCAGATGGATGAGCAATTAGCCTCCTATACTGGCCCCCAACAGAAATCTGATTCACAGCCTGCTAAAACTGCTAGCAAGCTGAGGAAGCTTGCTGTGTGCCACCTTTAGATGTCAACAGCTCAAGCTCCATGAATCATGACTAAACCACAGCTACTTGAGAAGTTTATTTCTGGTTCTGATTTATATATTCAAAAGAGTGCTACCAATAGCCATAAAAGGAAAAAAAAAATCACCACTACAAAAACAAGTAAGAAAATTGCATTCTGGTACCATGGTTCTCTTTACCTTTCCTTCCAAGTTCAGCTGCTGCATTTCTTGGTCACTATTTCCTATTCCAATAAATGCACATGGTTGAGACTCTTGTTCAGAACAACCATCGCGTTCCATTTGTTCTTTTTTTTTCTTCCATCCACTGCCCATAAGATATACACAAGGAGGAGGGCAAAAGAACCTGAAACAATGAGGGGGAAAAAACACAATGCAATTACATTCAAGAAAGCATTTCCTTTTCTTAAACACATGAATACAAAATCATGCTGAACTGCACAAAGTTAGCTCCACATTTTGGTGAAGTCTTTTGTAATGCAAATAGTCATATCCACAGCACAGAAATCAAGACTTCCACTTCCATTTGTTCAGGTAAGGTTCATCTATATTGATGTTACGCATTCACTTAGCCTAGATATTTTTTAGAGCAGGGAACATCTCTTTTCACATAGCTCAGAGTTTTGAACTACTGCAGTTCAACAAATCCAAAGTACTCTAACGTATACAAAACATGGTATACCATCACAGAATCTGCAGTTACTGATTAACGTCTACTCAAAATGATGTATCATTAATTAATGACATTCTTGGTATGGATATTACTCTTAACTTCATTTGGTAATTAACCTGGAAAACAGAGCAATGCCCAAAGTAGAAAATTTCGAAATACTAATACAACTAAGTAAAAGAATTAAAAGCAAAATGAATCATTGGATTACTATATATCTTACATCCTGAACACCTGCTGTATGTGGATGACTGAAAGAAAACTATACTGTATCCTTTCAACTCACAGACAACCAAGAGATTTGTTTCGCTAGTTGCCAAAAACCCACCCTCACAAATTCTTCCCACCTAGAATAATTTCCTTATAATCTTCTCTTAGTAATTACAAAATATCTACTTCAAATCCTAGCTCAGGCAGGCCCCACATTTTACATAGTTCAGACCATCAATCCAGTCCTTATGTAGGGTGTAATTCCTTTGCTCAATCACACAATGACTTACACATACTTTAAAACATTTATGTCGGGACTTCCCTAGTGGCGCAGTGGTTAAGAATCCACCTGCCAATGCAGGGGACACGGGTTTGATCCCTGGTCCAGGAAGATCCCACATGCCACGGAGCAATTAAGCCTGTGCGAAGCCCGTGCTCCACAACAAAGAGAAACCATCTGCAATGAGAAGCCCTCGCACCGCAATGAAGAGTAGCCCCCGCTCACCGCAACTAGGGAAAGCCGCCCGTGCGCAGCAACGAAGAACCAATGCAGCTAAAAATTTAAAAAATAAATAAATAAAATAAAGTTTAAAAAACATTTATGTCATGTCTCGTCAAGGGGCCTGAAAACTCAAATACCTACTCAAATAGTAGCCAAGTAAATTCAAATAGCAGCCAGGTAAGCAATATAAATGGGTGGGCCAGCTGTACAATAAATAAGCAGAAATATCCCTTAATTACCCAAAGAAGTAGGTTCCCTCCCTTCTTTCTTGAAACACACAGCCCTCATGGTAATTCCCACTTTTTGTATAGCTATAAGCATAGAAATTTCTTTCTTAATCTTTTAAGCCCACTGAAAGAAAAAAAAAAAGAGCTTAACTGCAAAGAGTATCAGCCAATGCTGTGTGGCTCTGATGACAAGGAAACAATCGGGATCAGCAAGCATGTGAGTATACACTCACCCACCCACTCACAGGGCTGAACTATGGGCGTGGAGGCCTAGTGCTGGCCACATCCTCCAACTTCCCAATAGTTGCCTGAAATCAAGTTTTACGTGAAATTCCTAATTTTAAAATTTGGCAAATAATTTATGCCTTTTAACACTTTTTAGGCCAATAATGTACAGACTTAAAAAAATAAAAAACTAAAGAACTGTACACAGGCATGTGTGTGTACATACATACACACAGATACCATCATGCTGGATTTAGCTTTCAGGCCACCGTAAAGGTAGTAAATTGGGAGGCTGGGGTCAACATATATATACTACTATGTATACTAATGAGAATCTACTGTGTAGCACAGGGAACTCTACTCAGTGACCTGTGGTTACCTAAATGGGAAGGAAATCTAAGAAAGAGTAGATATATGTATACATATAACTGATTCATTTTCCTGTACAGTAGAAACTAACAACACTGTAAAGCAACTATACTCCAATAAAAATTAATTAAAAAATAAATTAAATAAATGTAGTAGAGTAGTGTCTACTTGTTTGCTTCCCCCTCAGCACCTACTACAATACTGACTGAATTGAATCAAAATATATGGCACCTACTTTTTGCTCAACTCTACCAAAGACTACTTTAGAGGCAATCTACATACAATTTATAGGAAGTGAGCTGGGTTTATTTAATTTTCATTAATTCACAAAAATTTATTACACCCCTAATCTATACTAGATACTGGGAATATATTAGTAGTTAAAACAAACAAATAAAAATTCTTGTCCTAATGGAACTCAGAGTCTAATAAGAAAGACAATTTTAAAAAGCTAGATGACTAAAATAACATATATACTCTGTTAGCTGATGGTAAGTACTGAGGGAAAATAATAAAGCAGGGAAGGGGTACTTAAAAATGTAGAAGACCTGGGTGGCCAGAGAAAGCCTATTTAAGAAGATGACTTTAAATCATGACCTAAAGCCATGGGTTTCTTGGGTAAGAGCATTTCAGAAGAAGGAATAAATAGCAAGTGCAATGGCTCCAAAGTAGAAAGGACTATAATGGACGGCGGAGAAACAACAGACCAGCGTGGCTGGAGCAGAGACGAGAACAACAGGAGATGAAGCCGGAGTAATGGGGAAGTAGACCTAGCAGGTTGAAGGGGTCAGGCTGAGTTAGGATGAAAATCTTCTGGGGTCTTCTCATATGTATCTAAACCAACAGAAAAGAATCAGAGCAGCCTTTGTTCCTGTATACTCTCTGTCACCATGGACATAGAGGTCACAGCCGAGGCAGTGGGCTCAGTTCCAGGTCACTCCAAGTTTGGAGGGATGCCTGGATTAGCTGGGCTAGTTCAGGAGTTGGCTCAGTTCAAGTCTGCACCACGGATCTTTCTGGCCTCTAATGCTGGGAACCACCCAATACTTACCATGGCACAGATTCAAATATCTAGCTGGCACACTATCAGGAAGTTGAGAAGGCATCAATTTTGGAAGCTTGTCTACTATTAGTATTTTATTGACAGATGTTAAGCCTCCTTAGTAAGTTGGTATATCAGCTATAAAATTCGAAAAGCTTTGTTTTACTATAGTGTACCAAATGTAGTGCTGGTTTTCTCAAGAGTACTGTGATAAAATGGCATGAAACCAACAGGGCATAAAAATCAGACAGGTTGACAAGAAATTCTTTACCACTCAAAACACTGACCTAGGTTCTATATTGAAAGTGCTTTCCAATCTTGTAATAAATGTAAGAAAAATGAAGATTCTTCAACTGCCTCTGAACTAGCCTTATTTTTATATCAACTCTACAACTATTCAAGAAAGCTGTGATGCAAGAAAATTGCAAATCCAATATAAACATTAAGATTATTTCTACCATGTGATGATGAAATCATATTTTAAACATCCCAATATTGTCACTCCCTAAAAATCAGCTAATGAATCAAATCTTCATTTCCAGAAACTTCAGTAGTAATATAATAATCAAATAGAAGATAAGCATCAATACAAAAAAATTTACAGACAAATGAAAGGAAATTAAAGGGAGGAGGGTAAGGAAAAAATGCCACCTAATTAACAAAAGAAAAATTAACATACACCTTTATAAGGTGTATGTGAATCGATGATTCTTTGAATTTGGACAGCTGGTCAATATGTACCAAACATTCAGTGAAAAGTCTGACCAAGTGGCTAGCCTTTGGAGTTTAACAGCTGCTATAAAAGGACACTGTATGAAACAATGTGCCTTTATTTTCTAATCTAAGCAACTATGACAAACAGTGCTTTTATTTGCCACTTGGTGGCGATATGCACACATTTATGATTTCATTCATTTCCTAGTTCAACAGTCAGTCTTTATTTTCAGAGAGTGATTCAACAAGTTTTTCCTCATATCCTGAGATGAGGTCTGGAAAATACCTTACAGATTCAAAGAAACCTTAGCCCAATATATAAGATTAGACAAAATCCAAACACATCATTTACATTTTTTTATTTTGGCAGAATCATTACCCTTTGATGATTATTCATACTTCCCCTAACACAAAGTTGAAGAAATGTTAATATGTCTACTGGCATTTCCATATCTTTAATAGAAATTTGCCTCTAGACAAAATAATTTTTTCTTTAAGTTTATTTTTCAATTTGAAAAGACCTTCTTCGATTAAAAAGTAAAACTAGCCACTAACATACTAAGTGGGATACCAAATATGTTATGCAAATAAATACTCATCATTAGGCACAAAAGTGAATCCTGAGAATGATTTAAGATTTTAGGATAAAACTTCCTACCCAAATATTTCTAGCATCATTCACTGCAGTTATTTTGTAAGCCAAGATGACTGTGGTCATGTCCCCAGGTTACCTCATGCCTAATGCAAGAAAGAAAGCAGATCTTCCTCTTTCCGCTGCACTCCACTAAGGAGCAAGGGACAAGAATTCTTCCAGTAAGAAGCCCTGCCAGTTGTCCAGGAGGCTGACCTGTGTTAGCAGCCCCTGACGACTAATACCTTTTTAAAATCAAGTAATTTTAATAGGTTTTTACCTTTACTGTGAAACTAGTGTATGTCTCTTCTGGAAATTTTAATAATACAATAAACATAGAAAGTAGTTACTCTGGCTTTTTCATCTTTTTTTTTTTTTTTTTTTCATTCTTTGGAGTCAGAAGCTTAGATTCTTTGAGCTTTCCTCTGACTGGGGTTTTAGACCCATCAGGCTATACCCCAAATAATAGAAAGAAATTGAAAATAAGGGCAACCATAATAACAGTTAACCATTAAATCACCTATTTTAACTTGATAAACCACTATATCTTTGTATTTTTAACAGTGACTAACAAACAGGAACCTTATCTGGACTAATCTTTTGAGTAGCTCTTCCCCTTCTGTTATCTGCACTGGGCCTCAGTTATCCACCGAAGTATTAAATGACTTAGTGACTTTTAAAATTCCCATCCAAGATGCTTTTGCACAGTACCTGGAACCTTACAGGTTGTGAGAAATAAAGAATAAATGAGTTAATAAATGAATCCAATTGTATTGAACTGAGCAACACTGCCCAGGTTGGCAGCTTATACAATGAACATATGTTTTCCTATCTTCATTAGATCCAGCCCAATCTCACTCTGCTAATGGTAAAAAGAGAACCCCAGACAAAGTGAAGTTTACAAAGTTTGTGTTTTTTAGACATCTTTAGGTTCTTCAGGTACCTTTTCCATCTTCAAGCCTTGCTGTAGATAATTAACACTCAAACATAAAATGCAAGGCTATGAAAATTAGGGAAATGAAAAAAATATGAAATTTGGAATTACAGACCCAGGAGTTTTAATCCTGGTTTTTATCAACTCCGAACTAAAGTGAATCTGGGCATATTTAAAGTCTCTGATCTTTAGTCTCCTCACTCACAGAATGGGGATTAAAGCATGCCTACTTTACAAGATTATTCTGAGGGTTAAAATTTAAAGACATTTGTAAGGCATTTCCAGAACAATGTCTAGCTCGTGACTGGATAAAGGGAAGCTGTTCCTTCTTCAGATTCACTATGAAATACAAGGCTGACCCTTTAGATCCATCTCAAGTAATGAGGGTATTGACTTATGCTGTTTTGCTTGGTTGGGGGGAAGGAGACAATCTCCTATATACACGTGATTTCATTATTGGCGGGGGGGAGGGGGGGAAGAGCAGACAGAACACCTGAATTTCCAGTACCAACTTCATGCAAAAAGGGGTCACTATCTCGATTTGGTTTCTTCGTCCCAAACTGCAGGTACCAACTTCTTCACATATTTAACTCTAAATCAGATGATTTAAGTTCCATTAGTAAAGTAATCAGAAATTTAGTAAACTTGAATAACTAAAAAAGAACACTTGGCAGTATGAGTCCTAAATGCTGTTTTCAGCTGTTCATCCTCTTTGAGGATAACATTATCAACTAAACAGTTTCACCTTTTTTTCAGCTCAGATTTAGAGGACTTTGAGAAAGAGACTATTTAAAATTCTTCCAGCCTATAAATTAATATACTACCTTTCCCTTCTCTTATGCATATGCTAAGATCTCCTTTATCTCACAAATTCTAAGATTCCACTCATTCCTTTCAATCCAACACCCAAACCTGAGTTTTCATTCCTTCTCCCAATTCAGTTTTGGTGCCTTTCTAGCCAATCCAAAAAAATCTTTCATCTTCCCCCATAAGCAGCCTTTGTCTACAAAATGCTTAACACAAAAATGCTGTCTGAAAGACAAAGGCTTGAGAAACTATTAACAAGAAAATTCCAGGAACCAAGTGAAAAAACATAACAAAAATCCACAATTATATACCAAAAATGCTGAAATTTTAAAAATACTAAGACAAACACTAAATATTAAAATCCCTATTATAATTTAATTTTGGCTAATCTGATTTATAGGTCATTTCTGTAGTGCCACATTCATGTGGTATGAGTACCAGCTCAGCTTTGCTGGGTTTTTTAACCTGAATAGGCACAGGGTCAGGGTGGAGAGGGCTGGGAGTACTTTTCTTCACAATCACTGCATAATTCAATTTGGGGGTCTGTTTAAGCCTTTTTCTTTTTAAAATGGTACTTTTGGGGTCACATTTCTTTATAAAACTACATTTTCCACCGAAAGGAAAGCTACTTTTTGAATGAGCTAATGTATCACAGAAATACTTAGAGAACACCATGCAGCCCCAAATAAAAACTATGGATTATTTCATTTTGTGAAATCACGGATTTAACCAGAGGATCTTTACTAAATAAGCCACAATTTACTTTGTTTCTCCCTCTTCAATAGAGACAAATCCCCCATTTTTCATTTTGTACTTGCAAATTAACCCAATAGAAACCATCCTCTTACTTGTATATTAATACATCACTTGCAAATTCATGATAGCCATTATTAGCCATTAATTATCTACCAGAAAAACAATAATCTTACCTTTTTTCATTTCCATATGACTTCTGTGCAACTTTTGCATGAAGAATAAGTACTGTTTGATCCCCTCGCTCTTTTAAATAATTTCGCATAGCTTCCCTAAAATAAAATATAAATATCACCATTACAGGGGTAAGATTTAGAGTATTACTATGCTCTATAATGAGAATACTTAAGAATATGTTTCAAACAAGCAACTCCAAAAATGAAAACAATAAAGCAAAACAAACCCATGAACTAAATTTAAAGAATATTATACAATGGGGAAATATATACTGCTCATCTTCAACTCTATTCTTTGTTCTTTGAAAGAAGCTGTCCCTCGCTCTTGGAATTTATGATACAACTCAATTAAACCACAATTACAACTTAGAGAATAACTAGAATCACTATGTACACTGCTAATTAGGCTTTAAACCCTTTATAAAATTAATGCATGCAATACTTTTGTATTTAATAATCTGATTCACTACCACCACTAGCCCCTCTCCTCCAGCTATTAGAATGAGTATTTTTTACTGAATACAAAGCCATAAGAAATCCTTAGGTCATACAAATTTATTATTACATGTTCTTAAAGTAACAACCCTACAAAAGGACTAAGAAAGGGCTACCATTTATATACAGATACATAATTACTCTCAAGGATGTTACTAAACACATAAAGTTAATAAAAGCTAATGCAAATTAGTGAAAAACAATTAAATTTTGGAAAAAATACAATGTTAATTATTTCAAGCACAAAATACTCCAACTATCTATTTATTATGCAAGTGTATAAAAAATTCAATGTCTTAAAAATATTTATTCACCCAATTATTTTGCTAAGCAATATAATAGAGTATGGAGAACACAAGGTCTACATAGATCAAACTTTACATTTCTGAATCAGTAGAATCCCAGTTCTTGAGATGTTTAACACATTACAAAATAAAGCAAAAGTGCTTCAAAGGCAATCATCAAGAAACTTTTAATAAAGTGAATGCTATTTTTATTTATAAGTAAAAGACAAATGTATAGGGGATAGCTACAGAATAGTAGTAAGTTATTAAACGTGGGGAATTCTAGACTTCTGGCACTTTGAAACTAAGTGGCCTGGGGCAAATTTCTTAACCTTATCTAGCTTGACTTTCTGTATCTGATAATAACAATAATGCTGACATAACATAGAGTGGTTGTGGGGATTAAATGAGATGACAGCGTTTATGTTTAGTGACTGAAAACCTTTTGGCTCAAGGCAGGAATGGTAACACTGGAATCCAACAGATTGCACATTATTCCTTACCACTGTAACAAAGCTCAAAGTCCAGTAAAGACAGCAAAAAATGTTTGGAAAACAAATTGTAATGAGATTCATGTTCCAAATAGAGGTATGACCAAAGAGCTCCAATAGGGAGTGTCTATGTAAAGGAGGGGAGGGGTGATAAAGGACCACTCCTAGGAAAATTTTCTTAGAAGAGCTAACTTCTGAAGGAAAAGGAATAGTCACAGTAAGTGGAAGGAAGAAAGAGTAGGCATTCCAGGGCCAGGGAGAGAAGTATGGACGAGTAGGAATGACCCTGCAAATTTGGGTACAGCAAGAGATTCAGGCTGAGGAGTAAACCAGCCACAAAAAAAAATAGTAGCTAAGATTTCTTGAGTGTTTACTATGTGCCAGGCCCTGAATAAATGCATTATTTCACTTAATCCTCATAATCCAAAAGGTAAGTATTGTTAATACCATGCTGAATGTCTTGCAATTAATAAATGGTAGTCAGGAAACTGAAACAAATTCTCTAAAATTCTAAAGTGAGCCATGGCAGTGAATAAAATTGAGAAGTTGGGTACAGTCAAATTGTGAAAAGCCTATCAAATCCCTTGAAAATCTGACATTTGTAAACTTAAATACTAAGTATAAAAGTTTAAGCTAATTCAAATATCACCCTATGATAAGATGGTGATAAAAGTGGTAGCAGGTAATAAAAATTTTAAGACACCTAGAAAAAACTTAAAATAAAAAAATCCATCTCTTTGAGAGTTAGGAAAAGATCATCATTTAATTTTATCTCCACTCCATTATAGAAAAACACCATGCTGTGGAAAGTGGATTTTCAATCTACACAAAAGGCAATGCAAGATCTTGAGGTTTCTTTTAAACATACAGTTAATTTTCCTTTATAGTTAATTCTAGTGGTGAAATAGAGAAGGGGTTTTAGAAAGCATAGAGAAAAGACAAACTTGAAAAAAGGCTGTCACACCAAGAAAGAGGTAATAGAAGACAGTACAGGAGAAGACAGGTTTTAAGTCTTTTGTTTCAGGAGAAGCAAGTGTTAATAGGTTCTACTGGACAAATGTCAACTCTGAAGTGCCCCAGAACTCCAAGCTGGAAGTATTTAATAGGTTGTTGGAAACAACCATCTGTAGTTCCAGAGAGGAATCTGGGCTGGAAAAGTACGGTTCATTGGTATACACAGTTCATAAATAAAGCCATGGTAGTCAATGAAGTCTCCCAGAAAGAAAACACAGTGATAGGAGAGTCAAGAAGAAGATGTATAAAAGGAAATGAAGAACCGGTAGGGGTAGAACTGAAACTGTCTATTAGATGCTATGGAAGGAGACAACCTCAAAAGAGGGGAACAATCAAAAGGTAAGATGCTGGAGAGGTGAAGGTCACTTTAATTTTAGCAAGAAGTCTAACAGCCACCAGTTAAAGCCTCACAAGTTATTTGTAAAATGAGAGGCCATTGTGATGCCTAACAAGTAAGAAAAGAGCCATAGGTACTATCTGGAAATACCCTCTAGGGAATGGAGAAAGAAGCTGACTATGTACAATGATTGAAAATCGGTATTGAAGGACTGGCTAATGTTGAAATCCATAAATGATAGTGTCAAGTCCCACTAACATTCCAAGGGAATAGAGACAGCACATTCTCAAACCTGCTGGGTACTGGACAAGAGGTGCAGTGTGGAGAGGATAACGATTAATAAGGGATTTGAGGTGTTACTAAGTCACGTAACTGACCATAGCATTCAAGGTAGATAAGAAAACAAAAGGTAAGCCAGAAGAAGGTCAGTATCTTGACAAAACTGGCACAGAAGCCCAGTCACTGGCATAAAAAGTGAAAAGTTGCTATATACTTGAAAAAAAAATTTTTAAGAAACCATTTTAAATATATTTCCCCACGCTGAATTCTATTTGCATTTACAGTCTCTATTTTATCATTTAGCAACTACTTGATATGTTGGTCATATTTCATGTCTTCTTTCCTTGTCTTCCCAAAGAGTATGCAAAGCCTTTAAGACACACTATTAGGTACATTTTAGAAATGGAGGAGGGGTTAAGCAACTTTCCCAAGATGATACTGAAGTCCCAGGATTCAAGTTTAGGCAGTCTGGCTTTGGAGGACAAAATTAATACTATCAGATACTTTTGCACTGGTATTATGAGCAGTTTGGGTATGAAACAAACAGGGAGAGGTCTGAATCTTGACGCCTGTCAATTACTAAGCCTGAGTTTTCTCACCTGCATTTTTTTAAAAAAAAAAAAGACAGTAATAGCTCATATTGTGAAAAATATTTTAAATTAAGTACCCCCACAAACTGACAAATATCCAGTGTCAGTAAACTCTACCTATTATTATTATTTTCTGAGAACAATAGCAGGAGGGAGGGGGAGATAGAGGTCGGAAGACTTACACTGAAGTTTAAGGGCAAACTTGAAAATGACCTGGAGGTAAATCGTCAGGTGTCTCACCTGCCTTGCAAGGCACAAGTTTTTGCAAGCATAATAGGTAAGCTGCACTTTTATACATCTTCCCATTAAAGATTTATTGAGAACCTATTACATCCCAGGCACTGGTTATTGTGCTAGCTGAACTGTTCACAATAATGATTACGACAAAAGATTACAGATCTCAAGGTATTTATGATGAATGCAAGATGACAGCTCTAGTTTTCCTTGTCTTTTCCCTTCATATTTATAATACAAATTCTCGAAAAAAGCAACTAGAACCTTAAGTAACCATTAATAATAGTTGCCCTGTAGTAGTAATTTGCCGAATAGCTTCTTTCAACAAGAAAAAATTTTCCTTTGTTAATAGAATATCAAACATTAAAATTATGTTATCTGGCAGTTAAAGGTTGACAGTTTTGTTGTGCACCTTAAGGAGCCGTTAAAAAAGATACAGGCAATATACTCAAAAGAAACACAATTAAAAAGTAAAGACCATGGAATGACAGCCCATGTGCTCTTCATTTAGTCTAGGGTTTGGTTAATTGAATAGGGTTTCAATTTCAGCAGTGTTGACATCCTGGGCTAAACAATTCTTTGTTGTGAGGGAGCTGTGCTGTGCATTGGAAGGTGTTTAGCAACATCTCTAACTTCTACCCATTAGAAACCAGTAGCACCTTTCCTACAGTTGTGACAACCAAAAATGTCTCCAGATATTGCCAAACGTCAGAGGGGTAAAGGGGGAGGTCACCTGGGTTGAAAACCAGTGGATTAAAGAAAACCAAAACTGTTCCAACAATAAGTTGAGAAAATCACTCAATGTCTTTTTAAGAAAGAATGAGGGAAATTTTGTCATTTGAAGACATAATATAGGTGCTGTAAAAACGTTACCAGTAGAATTACTACTTTGTATTACTGAATTGTTAAAAAACAGTAACAACAAAGCTAAAACTCATAATTTGTTGTAAGTTACTATCTAACAAGTTTTGAAGCTTATGTATTCTTTGTTATTTCATTTAATAATTCCTTATAAAATATTCATTCTGAATGAAAGCCAATTAACAATTATTTGAAGAACACCATGGAGCAACTATTTTTGAAAGAGTTTACTCACTTAAAACACATTAGCTTAAATGTTTAGAAAATCAGAAAATTTTACCAGCATTTTTACTCACATGAAAGCATGGCAAATGCCATTCTAGTTTGACATGTTTAAACTATCACCATCTTCGTCAAACTTCTGGCTCTTTTTTCCTTTATAAACGTCTTTTTTTTTTTTTAATATCGCAAACAAAATTCACAAAAAAGAACGTCCTTAACAGTGTTAACCCGTTTTTCTGAAAACAGAACCCTTACTTCCTCACCACATTCATATACGCCGCCATGATTA